AAAAAAAAAAAAAAAAAAAAAAAAAACCAAACAACAACAAAAATTCTCTGAAGAGGAAAATAGAAAATTAACAAGAATTGACGCAAAGCCCTAAAATCCCGCCATTGATGCCGGATTCGTACAGTTCTCTCTCTACTAGGGTTGGTGTCTGTCGTTCAAAGGCACACTCTCTCTCTCTCCCTAGGACTTTCAATTAGTAGGGTTTGAAAAAAAGACAATGTTGGGTTAATTAATTTTGCAGTTTCTGGAACTCGTTCTCTATAAATCTGCCTGGATCTGTATCTCTAATAACAAGTACATTTCGGGTCATTCTTTTGTTTCCTTTTGTGATAACAGTCATTTCTTACTACCCAGATCTAGGCTTTTGTTTTTGGTAATTCAGATCTAGGGTTTTGTGTTTCCTCATAATTTTTTTCTAATTTCAAATTTAGCTTTCTATCATTAGGGTTTTATTACAGCTTCGCCGATTAGTAAACTTCACTTTCTCATACTTGTATATTAATGAGAAGAAAACAAAAATCTTGATATTAGTTCTTGTTTTGTTCTTTACCTCTTAACATATATTTTTTTATTAATAAGGAAATTAATCCCATTTTAGTTGTTCCAAATTGACCTTCTTGGCGTTTCCACACTAAAAACAGAAAAATATTTAACTAAATTGATTTCTTACCTAATGTTATTAATTAAAATGTATTATTTCTCACAATTACTCTTTGTTACGTATAATTATTTTACGTTGTTTTTAATTCCGTAAGTATACATTAACATCTTGACAAATATGTAGGCATGGGACCACTTTATTTATGTATACTCCAATCTTTTGTTCTTCGCACATGGTCGATTTTTTGTTTTGTTTCTTTTTACTTTTCCTATACCATTTTTCCTCTGTGAATAATGTGACCTTGTGATTTTAGAATCCTCTGAATTTCCCTTTTGTTATATTTCAAAATATATTTCTCAACCTTGCTAGTGCTTTGCTTATTCAGAAACCATCGTACTATATTCACTAGGCTTGTTCAGAGTTAACGCAAAAATACTTTTGATGCATGTGTTTTTGAATTTCTTTTTGTTGAGTGGTGTTTAAACAATTTACAACTCTATATATTCTCATTGTGTTTTATATGTTTGGCATTGCACTTCACATTATTTTAAGAACATAGACATATTATATGGTCGAGGAATTGATTAGTATGATTAAACATAATATCTATGTTTTTGTCGATTTGTTGATATAAGATATCTACACTGACTTTGTATCATGAAATATTTTTTTAAAAATCATTTAATACATAAATAATGCTCTCTTTTTTTTTTTAATTATTCGTAGAATTTTATTTCTGTCATTTTACTATATGATTGTCTAATAGTTTTTCTTGTCGAGTTTAAATAAATTTACCCTATGTTTTACTATGTGTTGTTTATTAGGTAAAATATTTAGACATTCATATAGAATAGTCATATTGCACAAAATTTAGATCTCCATAAAATGACAGGTCGAATCGGATTTAATCAAATTGATTGTGTAATTGTCATTTTCTTATTTGACTCTTTATATAAACATATACATGTTTTGTTGGTCTATACTGGTTGATACAAGACAAACACATAAGACATATACATAAATATTATTCGTTTGATTTTCTTTATGTACTTATTAGTTTTTTCCAAAAACTTTTTGGCTGTTTCAATTTTTTTTATTTACTCAATTGAATCTATTCTTGTCACTTCACAGAATTTCAAAGTGATCGTCTTCTTGCTGAGGCTATTAAAAACGGTGAGTGACCAATATACTTTTAGCATACAAATGGAACACGAAGACATTAGTGGAAACGTATTGTAATATATACTTCTTATTGTCTCAACATATATAACTTATTGTTAATATATGAGAACAGTGTGAACATCAAGTTCATAATCGTACTTTTGTTGTTTTTATCTGTTGTTCTACCCAAAAGTGCTATAAATCAAATTCAATATATTTACAAGTACGCAATTATAGTTTGGGTATATCCTTGGTCTGGGTTGAATGAAACTAACTCTCAAAAAGAAAATAGCTTCACTTCATTTAAAATCACAATTAAAGTCTATTTAAAAAAAGTGATCATAACCTCTCTGACGAAGTAATCTAAGACCATTTAAAGCCAGTTACAAAAAGAAAACGAAAAACAATTTAGACTCAGTATGAATTTGTGTGTAAACTTAAACATGATAGTGATCACAAGCCCTTTGATTAGTTGCACCATTTAATTAAGTTAATAACCTTGAAATTAAGGTTTTTAAATGTTTTGATTATTGACGTCCCGGAGCCGTAAAGAGATTTAGTAGAAACTAGAAAGTGATAGTGAATTACATGATGAATAATAACTTACAATTTTCACAAATTTTGTTTTGTGATCTTATCAATTTTTGTATTCCTGAAGGCAGACGATAGTCAACAAACTCAACACACATTTATTATATTAAAAAATTCGTTTGAATACTATGCATATCATAGTTAATGTTCCACTCAATATAGAAAATACATTGATTATTTTACATCGATTTAATATGTGACATTAAAATGAAGAAGAAAAGTCTTCATATAAACTTAAGATTCACAAACATATCTCAGCAACTAATTATTCGAGAAATTGACTGTTAATCGATATCAGCACATATTATGGTAGTGGTACATGAGGTCTCTTGGTTTCCCCATGAAGTGATGAAGATCCGTAAACAGCTGCTGCTACAAGGTACGTAACCAAACAAATAAATCAATGAAATTTGGCAAATACATAATACTGGTCAGTAAAAACGGCATCATTCAAATTTGATGTGAAACTATATGGTAATGAACTAATGATTAGCAACCAACTCTCAAACCATAAAACCAACTGCCTAATAGTAAAACATAAAACGAACTCCTAAACTAATTTCTTATAACATTAATTATCTCGTTGGTACTTTGGAAAATTGAAATAGCCTATGAACTTGAATGGAGTAACAAACAAAACTCTTAAAATTAATAAATGTGACTCGTACATAAATCAGGTACCTCTATGGAACTAGCTGCCCCTTGGCTGCGATGGTGATTAAGCACTGGAAATGATGAATTCATTTTGTTGATCATATCATAAGACTCCGACATGTGACCTTTTTTATCCACCACAAATCCATTGCAAACTTCCAAACCATCGTTCTTGCAAAGAAGCTCTTGGATCTCTTCTTGGCAGGGCGTTGCCTCAAAAGAATTGCAATACACATAGCTTTTATTATTCTTTACTATCTCATCGTGATGATTATTATGAGCTTCTTCGTCGAAAACATTTACTTGTGATCTTCTCTTCATCATCTTCTCCTTTGTTCTATCTTTTGCTCTCTCTCTTGCTTTCACTCTCTCTTCCTTAGACAACTTCTTCAAAATGGGTGTTCGCGGATGCAACATCTTTCTCTTCCCCCTCATCGATCTCCCATTATCCACCTTATTTTCTCTTGTTTCTAATGCAAACCGATCAATACAAATCAATAATTTTAAAAACTATAAGAGTTTCCTCTTATGAGAATCTTTGATAGGAAACTGAAATGATATAATTGTAAAACAGTAGGCTACGTTTAACGCACGTACCGCTCGAGCTGGTATTACTGCCTCTATCCTCGACTATGGATGCAAATTTGCATAGATCAGACGACGTGTGCATTGATCCTAACACCGGTCCTTGATTAAAATGGAAAGTTACAATTTCACAGTAAGCATGAAGAAGACCAAACTTTTCATAAAAGGTCTAGAAAAGAATGTATATTTACGGGTTTGATACTCCTCGGCGCCATGGTTAAACTGGTTAGAAAGGCTGCTCATGATCTTTATGATCTCGGGCTTGGCTTGTGTGAGCAACCATTCAACGGTTTTGCTGGCTTTGTCGAATCCAAGCATGTCTTGTAAGCCGAACAATTCTCTGGCGACATCTAGCGAGAGTCTCATCCTACGATCTCTTGTCCCTTTCGCAGTTTTGATCTTGCTGTGCCGGTCCGTTCTACATGGTCGTTTGACTTTATTCATTTTTGGGTCTTGAGAAGTTGAGGCTCTCTGGGAATCTTCTATGTGGGTGGTTATGGTTTCCGAGGGCTCAACGAGAGATTCTCCAATAGGGTTGTTCAAGGGAAGAAATGATGGATGATGATGATGGTCATTGGTGGTGATGGTTTGGTTATCATAATGGGCATTGTCATGTGGGTGGAAAGAGGAGGGGAGGGCCAAATCGGATACGAATTCGAATTGAGAAAAAAGAGAAGGTGCTTGTAAGAATTGATTATGATGATGATGATGGTCAAGATGATTGTCTGATGTGTTGGAGTTGGAGTGAATGAAGATATCGTTAATGGAAGAACAAGGGCTAAAAGGGAGTAGTGGCTGTGAGGAATAATGGTCATTATAAGTGAATAACATGTAGTCTTCACTGATGGTGGTAGTAGTACTGAAAGACCTGTTGTTGTTCATTTCTTTTTGAAGCAACAAAATTAAATTAAAAACCCCTACAACAAATTTTTGAGAAGGACACTTGTAATAAAACCTTCTTCACACTCCAGAAAAAGAGACGATAATGAGAGAATAAAATCAAAGAAAAGATTACTGTGACACTGACGAAGACAATCGAAATTTACCGAAAGAGAAAAATATACCTTTCTTCCTAAGCCTGCAAAATCAAGAAAATGAAAGAAAGAAAGAACAGTAGTAGAGATTAGTACAATATGTCTTTGTTCAAGAGAATCTATGTTTGAATCAAAATGTGTATAGTGAGAGAACGAGAGTACCTTTACTGAAGTAAAAGACTGATGGTTGAGAAAGACAACACAGGCAAGGTACTTAAATGAGTCTATGTGCTATGAATTAGAATGGAGAGAGAGAAAGGGAGAGGGAGAGAAAGAGACCTGTAGACATGAAAATGAGGAAGGAATGACATCCATTTGGAGGAAACTATACGTTTTGAAGAGGAAATTATTTATTTCTTTGCTTAATATCTTCTTTTTAGCATTAAAAATAATATGACTTATATAATAAAGTAAAAAAAATTTTCACCATAAGAGAAAAAATGTCACTTGGCATTTACTCTTGTTGTGATTTTTTTTTGTTTTTGGAATGAACTAGATATGGATTGGAGCATATGTTTTGTATCTTTTTTGTTGGCCCATTAAAATGTATGACAGAATTAATGTCACTTTCTGAGTTTCTTGAATTTTTTTTTTTGAAACCTCCTGTTAGCACCGCCGATAATCTCAACATTACGTTTCCAATTTTGCATTAATAAGCTTTGCGTCTTAACTTCACTAACCCCACTCCTCCCACTCTGATTATTCATTATGTCTCATCATCCTGGCGTAACCGACGGAAGATCCAACTATTGGACCATTTGCTCATGTTCTGGGAAGCTATGAATGTGAAGAAAGGCAATGACCAAATGAGTCTTGACATGCCACTTATTGACGAGAAGGTAATCACGTTTGTCTCCTGTTACTCCTAACCATGATAACATATATTTCGATTGTCTGATTTTTTTGTTTTACTTTGTTTCAACAGTCAACCCTTATGCAAGGATCTGTTAGTGTGAATAGTCTTCTCAAGTTAAGAAAATTCAATTCTAATCGATACTGGATCTTACACGCAAGAAGTCTGCCGTTTTTCTTCTGATGTGCATCTCATTGTCGAGCTAAGACATAATCTCACTGATGCTGTCTTTTTTTTGACAAATAAGCTAACCGGTTATGTCATAACATTTCAAGATTGTATTTTTTACTATTCTTTGAGTTATGAGATGATTGGTGCTTTTGCTGAGATCCGTGAGTGAGTAATTGACTGACGATTTGTTTTCAGTTTATTATATTGACTGAACATGTAATTAACTGATTGATTTTACTTACTTACAGTACTCTTCTGTTCTTGTACCATTCTGCAACACTACGTCATGATGTGTTGGGTTAGGTATGTTTTTTAACAAATTTTATAAACACTAGAAACTCTTGGTTCATCTTTTGTTTTGGTTATTCAACTCTTGGTTCATCTTTTGTTTTGGTTATTCAATGTGTCAATTTGTGAATGCTGGAAACACCTACGAATCTCTTCCTTTACAACTACCTGCATTACAACTTTTATGACTAAGAAGAGAGGTTGAGACTGGAATATTAAAAAAACTGGCGCGTAGCGTCGACATACTACTAATATATATATATATATATATATATCATTTTGTTTTCGTGAAAACTTGATAAAGTTTCAGTGTTATTTAGTTCTAAGGATTTAAAAATAAACTGAACCATGGCTTTGTTTATGTTCTTAGATTTCTTTGAGATATTTCATCATTAAAAATAAATAAGAATTTAAGAAGTCTGTGATAGATTATTGACAGCTATCAAGAATTAACTAAAGTTTATATATATAGACCTTGATATGATTTTAAAATATGTCTAATAATAGTTAGCTTAAAATAAGCACAGTTAGAGATGGATTTTACCCGGCTCCATATCCGATTCGAGAATCCGGTCCAATACCTTATAAATACACAAAGAGACAATGGGCCTATGTAGGTCCAAGGCCCATTACAAGATCAAGAAACGGATAATGCCAAGTTGACACATTCAAACTAAGGTATAACAAAATCAAAGCATTGAAGATAACCATAAAAGTACCTGATACTCGCCGGACTTCACGTTACCGTTCAATCTGCTGTCAGATATCTATAAAAGAAAGACCAAAGAAATCAAGAGGGGGATCCAAGGGCTTCTAAAGCAACACTATAATTTCCATACATACATACATACATCCTTCCTTTTTTTTAAATACCTTTTGTATTCATATTCGTGTTCTGTTTGCATTCTTCATCAAATACACTTTGTCATACGAAATCATCAATATACAGTCTTATATACATGCCTTCTTAAACACATAATCTAAACCCTAAACCTAGTTTATGAAGTGGATTTGAGATCCAACAAACATTCCTCTGTAGGGCTATTTTCACATAATATAATCATATATGCTATCAAACTAACTTTTGGTTATAATTAATCAGATAGTAAAATCAATGAAAGGATCTATGTAATATGGTGATTTATTTAGACAAATTCTATCAGCCTAATTATATAATTAACATATTTTAGTCAATAAAGATGAAGATATAATAATAATAAGGGAAGGCAATGAGATTTAGAATCACTGACACTGAAAACTAACAAAAAAAATTAGATAGAAGTTTTTTTGTATATTATGAGAGAGAATTATAAAATTTGGACACACAATCAATATAAAATAAACAAAAATTCAATAATATGCAAAAATGGGTGCATAAATTTCGAAAGGAATAAAAAATAAAGTGAGGAATTATAGTTTAGTGTTAATGAAATGAGAGGTAGTATAAAATTTAAAGTGATTGCATCCAAAATGAGAGATTCTTATAAAAAAAAAATGGTTGAGTTTTGCTAAAAAAAATAAGCCAATTCCAAGCAGAATTTCCGACGAAAAATCTTGTCTGAAATTGATGACAAAACTAAAATATTTGATTTCGAACATAAATCCATCAGGAATCTGTAAAAAACTTCGAGCGGATTCCCAATGGAAACCCAAAAATTTGACTTCCAGTGGAAAGTCAATTTAGAATCTTGAAAAAATAATAGTTTAGGGGTTAATGGTCTCAAAAAAATTAGTAAGTCATATGATAAGTGTAAGAAAATTTTGAACGTAGTGAACACTCAATATTTTTTCCAAAATAATTTCACTCATAATTAACTCGATTTAATCATAAGCTCAAGGAAATATTATATGTAGTACATAAACAATTAACAGAAATCATTGATAACTTTTTTTTCATCAAACGGCTATTTTATTACTCAAACTTGAGGTGGCCTGGGAAACCAGACCGAAATAGAACAACCAATGTAATACATACTCCTGTAAAATGACCTTGCTATCTTAGCTAACGAATCAGACGATACATTTCTAGCACGAGGAATATAAGCAATCGAAAACTCCATGAATCTATCCTTTAGCCGTGAAAACTCCTGCAACTCAGTAAAAAAATTTGGCCATGCTCCTGGATTCTGGGTCATCGTGACTAAGTCCTTGCAGTCACTTCCATACGCCTGACACGTCGACGTCTGCAGCATGCACTCCATTGCCCACAACATGGCCTCCAATTCCGAGTGTAGTGATGAGATTCTACTGCTCTGTTTTTATGTACCTAGAAGTTGGATTATTCCATTCGAATATTTCCATGTCCACCCACAACCACTGAAGAGTGCGTCATAAATCCATGATCCATCATCCATCAATCATGCATCTCCCTAAATCATCATGCACTAAAATAATAAATTTAATAAATAAAAATATTTATATAACTTCTATATTACTTCTTTAAATATATGTATATATATATGCATATAATGGATCAGATCAGATATCTGTTCCTAAAATATTAGTATTTGTGATTTACTTCGTTTTTTATGGATATTTCATTTTAGTATATGTTTTGTTTCGTAGAGTTACGAGTATCTGAATTTTCCGGTTCGAATCGAATCAAAATTTATGGATATTTTAACCAGTCCTGGTTATGGTGAATTCAGAGCATCTTGAAATTTATTTGTGTTACTTTTCAAAATTCTTTGAAATACCTTGAATCATTAGAATAGTAATGTCTTAAATAACTAATGCAATTATATTGAATATTGATTAGACATTCATAAATATTATAATCACTAACACCAGATTTTAAAGGATTCTATAACAGTTTGCAACTAGAATAACAGTTTTTCAAAAAGGGCAGCCCCTTTTCCATACGTCCAATTATTTAAATCCAATTGGTGTTCAAATAGCAAAAAAAACAATCACGAAAGCATTGAAAACGTTGTCTTTGTTTTGACATAGCATTGGCAAGACAAGAAGAAAAAGAGAGGTAAGGATCTCTCTAACTGCACGAAAAATTAGAATCCCTCATCAATTTTCAAAGTTTCTTCAATGAAATTTCTTTTTAATAACTACAGTTCAAGTAACTCACAAATACTCTTATTCCGATGAGAATCTATTCTGGAAGGGTGAGAGATTAGATGTTACTCCTAGAGTAAAATGATAAACAATTTCCATCAACAAAATAAGATGGTACTATCTTTCAGCAACTAACCAATAAAGTGCAAACAGAAGTACAAAATCTGAACTAGCAGTGGTAGTCTAGTAATGTTCAGAGAAATAAACTTTATATGGTGAATTTTGGTTTGAATCCCGTTGATCATAGGGATATGGATTATTGTTTTCGATTCATTTGAATGCCATTGAAAGAACCTATACATGGGGTTAGATATGTGTCTTTAATAGATATGATGTAAACCTTTTTTCTCAAAACAAAAATACAAAATTCAAATAACAAATTTTTACCCAAAAAAACTACTTACAAAAGTACAAAAACATATTCATTTATTAGTATTCGTGATAACGACGCTTAATTTTTTTTAAAATGATTTTATATCAATCTGTGACAACGAGGCTTAAAGACAAAGATTAAAGTTCGGATTTGAATGTCTGGCTTTGCATCAAGAAACCCATCCGTTTTAAGACCATAGTTTTCATTTTTCATTAATAAGATAAAATTAAATTGTTTAGAAGATTAGAATATTTTTAATATATATTTCTCAATGAGTTTTCGCTATTAAAAAGAGAGAAAAGAGAAAATTGTTTTTTTGAAATACAAAACTCTCAAAAACTTTTAAACACTTGATTTTATAAATTAATCACTTGTGTTTATAAAACAATATTAAATTGTATTAAAAATATATACTTATTAAAAAACTAATAATGATTTTCATGAACTGGTCCAATTGGAGAGTAGAATTATGAAGTTACAAATTGGAAGACAGCCCGTGGCAGTGTGAAACCCTAAATAAGAAAAAGAAGCTGCAATAGTTTTTCGGAAGAAAATAAAAAGCTTTGGCTCTATCTGTTCAGTATGCCATGAGCGACCAACCTTTATTTTCTTTTGACTCTCTCATACATGTCGCTTTCGCTAAAAAGAGAACATCTCTCTGTCATGCTTATCTTGTAAGCTTTTTGTATCACTATTTTTCCTTCCCTTTTCACTATTTTTCCGCACACATTTAAGTTATGAAAAGATTTAGCATATATATCTCTTTTACAGACAGAAAAGATAATTTTTTTTTTAAACTTAGAAAAGAGAATATTAAGAGTTAATGTGTCAACTTAACATTTAAAGGTGAGTTATAGTTGCTCAAAAAAATAGGTGAGTTATATAGTGAATTGGTGAGGTGTATAATTTTCTTTTGGTATTATTTGTGTCACACACATAAATAATTTATCAGATATTTGACATGATGGTACGTGTGGTAAAGATTCTATAAATTAATAATATTGAGATTAAAATATATTATTATACAATTACTAATTTACAAAAAAAAATCATTTTTAGATTTTCTGTTTTAAGATATTTTTTTCTAAACTAAAAAAAATATTTTTAGTGTATATACATTAATAATTTATTTTTGAAATTCAACATTTATATTGATTTTATTATTATTTGGTATATATAAAATATGTTTCATGAAATTCACCTAGTCTTCTGAAGCAACATAGACGGTTATAGAGCCGTTCTCTTTTGTTTGACGGTGCACTAGCCTCAGTTGACTTTTCACCCC